CACAAGTTCACCTTGCGAGACAATGTAAAAGCCAAGATCCAAGACAAGGTGCCGGGCTTCCTTTTTCAAAGTGTTCGTATTGCTGTTCCGGTCACATCGAAAGGTAGGGTTGCTTTACATGCATTGTGTTTACTTCCTTGCATAATTTTCAGTGGTGCTAAAGTTCCCCGCGCGTGGAACCAAGGAGGGCATCCCGCCTGACCAGCAGCGCCTCATCTTCGCTGGCAAGCAGCTGGAAGACGGGCGTACGTTGTCAGACTACAACATCCAGAAAGAATCGAGATGCCGATCTGGGATGGTTTTTTAGTTTCCGTTTGATGAGTGGTTGTGGGGGCTTGTTGAAAATCGATACCTAGGAGAGCACCTTGCACTTGGTGCTGCGCCTCCGTGGTGGCATGCAGATCTTCGTCAAGACGTTGACTGGCAAGACCATCACTCTTGACGTTGAGGCCAGGATACCCTGACAAGCATCAAAAGAATCAAATCGAATCGACAGAAGTTGCAGCTGCATCAGAACAAAATAAGACCGTATCGGCATACTTCTTGATAATGTTTTGCCCTTGAACCGTCGAGGCCTCAGACACGATCGATAATGTGAAGGCCAGGCACCGCTCAGCTCACCCTCAGTCTGTTGACATGGTGGTGCCGACAGTCTCCTCCTTGGAGGCTGCAGAGAGCTGTGAAGTTTGTGATCTGTCTGGTTCCTTGGGAGTCAGGTGGTGCTTTCAGGGAAGAGTGCTTGCTGGCAGCCAAACCCTCGCTGATTGTGGGGTTGGCCCTCTGGCATGTCTGGAAGTGATGCCTTTGCTTAAGGGCGGTGGCGTCATTGGGAAGGAGGCCAGGAACCGTCTCTTGGCTATCCTGCAGATGAGTGGCAAGCTGGACAAAGCACAGAGCGGACTGGATGCTCTGATCCACCAAGTCGAGCCGGCCAAGCTCAAAAAGCTCGCTGAGGCCAAGACCACCACGGCGCGCGACTTGCTGAATTTGGCCAACAGCTGCAGCCCGCCGATCGCTTTCAGCTCTTCCTTCAGGACTGACTCGACGCGGCCACCCCGGGCTTCCTCGGCGGACAAGGGCAAGGGCAAGGCGAATGGGAAGGGCAACAATAAGGGCTTTGACAAGTCTAAAGGCAAGGACCTGGGCAAAGGCAATGGCAAAGGTGGCGACGCCAATGCCCCGGTGACGATCGATGCAGCTGGCCTGGGCAATGTGCACGTGCTGCCGAACTTGAAGCGCAGTGGCAGCCCGTGTGCGACTGGCGTCTTCCTCGCTGAGGCCAGAGCTGCTGAGGATATTGTTCGTGAGCTTCGGGATGAACCTTGGCCAGCTCCCTTGGCCATCCTGGTGACGGGCAACCTCAAGACGATTGTGAAGCACTGGCAGGACCCGCAGCTGCTGGCCACGGGAACCGAAGTTGCTGTGCCCACGTGCCAGGGCACGCGCAAGCTCGTGCGGAAAATGGTGGCGTTCCAGGTTGGCTCTGCCGCCCTGAACATCCCGTCGCCTGCTGTCTTTGATTTGGAGGATGAGTTTGAGTCTTACCAGACATGGAATATGCAGGTCAGGCAGCTGTGGGCCCCCTCCGAAATCTGGCAGGCTTGCTGTACGCCTCAGCCGTCCAAGCCCTCGGCGACGGGACGGAAAATCTCTACGGCCGCCTACCTGTCCGAGCTCCTCAAAACCCTGCTGCTTGCCAAGCTTAAGCTCAAGGAGAGCACCGACGTGGAGGCCTGGAGTGGACGCAAGCACGGGGATGCGGATGGGCATGCTGGCTGCATCGATTCGTTGATTCGCGTCCCGCGGCAGTATGAAGAGGCCCTCCGACGTGCGTCAGGTCATGATGGCATCTTCTTTGAGCGCAAGTTTGTTTCCGAGGAAGCTAAGGAGGCCGAGCGTGCGGCGCGCCCCCTCATCGCTGTTCCTGGGGATGACTGGGACCTTGACAAGATCCAGACCACCTTGCGCGACACCGAAGGCGCTGAGGGCTTCGAGGTCTGGGGCAAGCGCTTGATGTTGCGGGTGCAGATTGAATATGAGCCGGCTGCGCGCCTTAAGCTCACGGGCAAAGAGCATGCACCTACTGACCTTTTGTGGAGGATGTCGGGTGTGCCACACCTCAAGATGGCACAGCTTGCTGATTTCTTGAAGGACCGGTTGCTTTGGGAAGTTGAGGAGATTATCTCTTTTCGGAAAAAAGAGGCTGTGGTGCGGGCAGCCTCTCCCCCTCCGAGCCAGTACCAGTGCGGTGGCCAGGACTTCTGGTCAATCATCATGGGCACCGAGGCTGTCACTATTCGCCAAATCGTGCCAAAGCACCGTCGAAAGGAGGCCCGGCCGGTTGAGGACATCACCTTTGCTGCTAGCAACCGGCCCGTGCCTGCAGATTGGAGCAAATTGCTGACACCGGTGCCATGTGGCCCATCCATGGAGATCGATGATGGTGATGACCCAGAGCTTGAGGAGCTGCCAGGCGATGGGACCACCACCTCGGGCGCTCTGGGCCAGTTCCTTCGGGCTCAGGCTATGCCAGGGTCCAGCAGACATTGCAAGCTCACCCAGGTGGCCACGGAACTCACTGAGTCGGCTCAGCAGCAGCTTCGCCGGGTCATCGAGAAGAGCACCGAGGACAATGCATCGCAGCAGCGCTGGCTGGAGATGGCGGTGGATAGCAAGCTTGCTACTTTCCAGCAGGCGTTGCTCGAGAAGCAAACTACGTGGGAGAAGGCCCAGGACAGCAAGCTCCAGGAACTTCAGACGGCGCAGCAAGAGCTCAAAGAGAGCACCCAGCTGGAGTTTCAGAATGTGCACGACACAGCGGCCAATCGGCACCGCGACCTCATGAATCAGATGACTTCGATGATGGCGGTGTTGCAAGCTCATGGCCCTGGAGGAGAAAAGCGACCGGGCGAATTCCCGGAGCATGCTGTTGCGAAGGCCAGGGCTATGCCGACAGATGCCAATGCCCCTGCCCCCACCGCTTGACTAGGGTCAGGGCCTGGCTATGCTGCGATGTTGAGTGCAAGGTCGGATGCTGTGGAAGTGGAGTGTTTTGACAAGGCCAGATGTGATGTGGTTCCACCTGGGCTTGGAGTTCCTTTGTATAGTGCTCCTACCTCACTGCCTGCTGCTGTCACCTGTGGTTTTCTTGTACAGGGGGGCGGCGACGAGCACATGGTAGCTGTTTCGCGAGGGCACGACCGATGTGTCTGTACCGGTTCTTTGCCCTCCTTACAAACTTCGACTTCGCGAATTGGGGTGCCATCTTGCGAGGCGACAATCCGATTGAGGCCTGGGCCTCACCTCCCCTTCATGGACTCAGGTGGCGAGCCTTACTTCGCTGCGATTTCAGATGAGGCTTTGGAGGCAAAAGATGTGAAGTGTTTTGGCAAGGCCATGTGTGATGTGGTTCCACCTGGGCTTGTCGACTCGTCGTATAGCAATTCAGATGTCTTGCCGCTTGCTGCTGCCACATGTGGTTCGGTCGTACAGGGCACAAGCTTTCGGCTGGTGACAGATGGTTTTCGAGGCCGTGGCCGACGATCCTCTACCGGCTCACGGTCCTCGTCATGCAGATTGGGGGCTTCGCGATGTTGTCGGACACCCACGTGTCCCTCTTCAGATCGGCCGAGGCTTATACCTCGGCGCTTTTCCAAGGCCTCCGGTGGTTTTCGAGATTTCGGGTTTTTCTCGGCTGCTGGGCGATGGCTGGCTCGACATGCTGGCTACCTCCTGTTCCTCGGCCTCTTTTTCATGGACTTCGCCCTTTTGGCGATGCAGCCTGTCTGTTGGCAGGTAAGTTTTCTCGGAATTCGTTTGGGCGAAGCTGCTCTACCCGGCCACCGACGGCGAGCTCCCAAGGGCTACAGTCTGGCCAGAAAGGTGAACAATTTGAAGCTTCGCTCCCACAACATGGGTGGATTGCGCAGCTGGGATAAAAAATCCCAACTTTGGTGCGAAGATGCTGCTGATGTGCTCGCCATCCAGGAGACATGGGCCGATGCCAAGGATATCCTCGATGGCCGAAGGCACCTCGCTACGCATGGGTTGCGCTCCTACTGGAGTGCTCCGGGGCCTGCGCGTGGGCATGGCTCTGGAACCCTGGTGGCTGCCCTTCGACCCGTGGTGTCCAAGGAGTTCTTCACTGCGGGCTTCGACTCCGAAATGGACCACCTTTGGGCCTCTACGCGAGCTGCTGGCGCATGGGTCGAGACCAACCAGGTGGACAATGGCTTCGCGGTCCTCTCCTTCTATGGCATTGCTGGGGCCAACGCCTGCAACAACAAGCGCCTCGAATCGGATCGGATGCTGATGGCTTTGCTTTGCCACCTGGGGGCCTACAAGCACAGGCCCATCTTCCTGTGCATGGATGCCAACTTGAGCTTTGAAAAGAGTGACACCATGCAAGCCCTCATCAAGCTCGGCTGGACTGACCTGGCAGCTGGCCTTGGTGGCACTTTCAAGGTTAAGCCTACGGATGCGAACCCGTGCAGTCGCATCGACTTTGTGTTCGCGAACCCTGCTGCTGCTGGCTTGGTGATGGATGTTCAGCTCCGATGGCTGCCAGGCTTCCAACATGCAGCTGTGGATATCGACCTCCACCTTGGCCTGGACACTGGACCGATTTCGAGGCTGCGGGTTCCCAAACGAATGCCCCGGGTGCCTGCTTTGTCTCAAGGTGACCTGGAGACCTACGAGGAATGGGCCAATGACACCTGGCAGCACTCCTTTGCCTCTGGTTTCAAGGTGGCCCTGACTCAGAAGGATACTGCTGGTGCCTGGCAACTCTGCGAGGCCTTCGACTCCGAATGTCTCAAAATGAGGCTGGACCTGGCCGGCATCAATGACCCGAAGGCCTCCTCTGGACGTGGTGCAGTGCCCTCGACGATGCAGTGCACCCCCTCACGACACCGAAGCCCTGGCTACGACCATGCATGGAGTACCTTTGTTGCTTGGCTGGAGTCCCTCTTTGCTTTGCACGAGATTGGCTCCTTTGCCTCGGGAGTGCAGCTGGAAACTCAATGGCGGCTTGGCTGTGCTGGCTATAGCGGCTTCCTCTCCCACCTCCTTGGCCTCGCATGCTCGCTCCCGGAGGGTGTGACCTGGTGGCAGGAGCTACGACTACGGCTTGATGTTGCCCTCAAGGACAGAGCCGAGGCAGCAGCGCAGCGCAATGCTTGCGCAAAGACGGCCTGGGCCAAAAAGATGCGCTCCATTGTCCAGGCTTGCAAGCACCTCAAGGGCCCACAGCAGAAGCAGACCAGCCACTTGGTCGACAAAGACACTGGCGAGATCGTTGTGGTTGTTAGTCGCATGCATGACATGTTGTTGAAGGCTTGGCAGCCCCTCTTCTCCATGTATGCCACTAAGCCTGAGCCCGACTGGCACGATTTCGCCAAGGAGTACGCTGTTGAGTTGCAGGATTGGCACGCGACCTGCCCGGATGCTCTCCCTGCCTCGGGCCTTGCACATGCTGTCCGGACGCGCGGTGCTGACAAGGTTGGGGGCACGGATGGCTGGACCACTGCAGAAGGCCATTTGCTTCCGGATGTGTCCTTTTGGGCGCGCCAGACATGCTTGGAAGCTGTTGCGTGTGGCTCTGATTGGCCACCTCCTTTGCTCTTCGGTACGGTGCCCTTGCTGCCGAAGAACGACTCAGGACTCCCGGAGGACCAGCGCCCTTTGACGTGCTTTTCGCTTTGGAATGTGGGCTGGGACAAGGCCACGTACGCTGCCACAAAGCCTTGGCTGGATGTCTTGCTCCCGGTGGCAATGCGGGGAGCTCGTGCTGGTGCCATGACCATGGATGTGGCCTGGATGGTTGCGCTGATGCTGGAGCATGCTCACTGCTACTCTCAAGAGAAGGCGGGCTACCTCTTGGATCGTGAAAAATGCTTTGATCGGCTCCCCTGGGCGATCACCTTTGCCCTGGAACAGCATGCTGGATTCCCCAGCTCGTGGTCACAGGCCGATGCTCGCTTGAACCGTGACTTGCAAACTGCATTCCGGCTCGGCCCCCTGATTGGGCCCTTCTGGAAGTCTACCAACTCCTTCAGGCAGGGGCTGGCTAGCAGTGTCAGGCGAGTGTCCCTCATCATGGCCATCTGGGTCCGAAGGCAATGCAACATCTTGCCCAGATCCTTTGTGGGCAACTTCTTCGATGACTGCTTAGTGCTGACCGACACCCAGGCCGAGCAGCAGCAGTCCATGAATGAGAGTGACCTTTTTGACCAACTTACTGGCCAGAGGATTGGGCACAAGAAAACTGTTGGCTTCACGGTCCCGTGTGCTGAGCCGGTGTTGCGGTCCCGAGGTCAGCTCCTCAAGCAGGTCACCGTTGATAAGCTCTTGGGGGTGCTCATTCCGATGGACAACCAGCCTGACCGCTCCTTGCAGGACAAACGCGCCCTCGAGGCACAGGCTGAGATCCACCCCGTTGCCAAGCTCCTAGTGTCCTTGGAGGAGAAAGCCACTCTGCTCTCCCTGAAAACTGCTGGAGCTCGCTACGGACTTGAGTTGGAGGAGCCCTCGGCACAGGTTGCTCACGACTTTGACCAGTGTGTGCTGCAGACTTTGTGTGGACAGCGTGCGCTCAGGTGCAAGTACACCAGCATGGGCCTGGCTTGGCGTGGTCACAGACTCTTCTTGGAGATGGCCACCCCCTACCAGGCCTTCGACATGGCGCGCAGGCAGCTCTTACGGTTGCCCTTGGCTCAGGAGCTCTTTCGGGAGGTGTGGGAGTTCCGTGACGCTCACTCTTTGTGGGACGAGGCTGGAGTGTGCAGCCACTTGGGGCGACAGTGCCAAAAACTTCGTTGGTCCTGGGATGAACCCTTTACCATCCAGACCCTCCATGGCAAGCTTGACCTTTGCTGTCCTGTTAAGGGCTGGTTTCAACATGGGCTACGGGTTGAGCTTCGCCAAAGTTTCTTCCAGCTCGTGCCAGACAGAAAAGACCTCAAGGGCATCCAAGATGGCGTGGACTATGAGGTCACTACTGCGCTGCTGCGGGGGTCTACGTTGGATGCGGCCCAGTGCAACCGGCTCCGTTTTCTGTGGGAAGGGCGTGTTGCTACTGAGGAGCGGGCTGCCAAGCACGGAGGTGGCGACCCGACATGCCCCTACTGCACCTTGGGAGTCCCTGAGACCTCTCTGCACGTTTCCCAGGACTGCCCGCGCTTTGCTAGTCAGCGCGAAACTTTGTTGGCTCGGACCACTCAAGCAGAGCGCGACACCTGGCCGCCATGCTTTTGGAATGCCGGCATCCTTCCCCTGGAGGCCTCACTGCTTGAGCTGCAACAACAGCTACCGCCATACAGCCTGGAAGACCCGGAGGCCCCGGAGTACATCAATGACGAGTTCACTGATGAGTGGTTTCGCTGTGGCCGTCTGGTTGTTGCTGGGGACGGCGCGTGTACGAACCAAGGCACCCCACTTGCTCGTGCTGGCTGTGGTGCTTTCTTTGGGCCGGGCCACGTTCTCAACTTCGAGTTTGCGCTTGCAGGGCCAGTTCAAGACTCCGACCGTGCAGAACTTCGTGCTCTCCTTCGTGTTGCTCGGTGGACTCCTTGCCTGACAGAGTACCTTTGCGACAACGAGGCTGTCGGTGTCGGCTTTGACAAGCTCTGCCAAGGTTCCGCACAACCCTGGGCTGACCATGGTGACCCTTTGGGCTGCGCTGCGTCAGGTCCTAGATGCTCGTGGATGGGACCTGCTGCGGGTCTCCTTTGTCAAAGGACATGCCGATGCCGTCGACATCGCCATGGGTCGCGCTACTGCTAAGGAAGCGCGCTGGAATGATGCAGCAGACCGTCGTGCAGTCGCTGGCGCGGCTCTTCACGCCGTCCCGCCTGCTGCCAAGGACCTGTACCGTCGGCGAGTGGAAGTGACCAAGCTCATGCAGCGCACGCTGCTGAGCATCCATGAGGCTCGGACCAACCTGTGGTCCCAACGTCAGCTGCTTGAGGACGGTCAAGGACCACGACCTGGTGATGCTCCTGCTGATCCTCCTGGTGACCCGCCTCCAGCAGACCAGGGCCAGACCTCAGCTAGCACTGAGGCCTCACGGCGACTACAGGTGCAGGACGTCTTTGCTAGACCGCAGACTGCACTCCCCAGGTACTGCTGGGACCGGCCGGATGGTGGTGTCCGTTTTGCACTGCCACCTTTGCCTGCAAGGATCGGAGCTGCTCCCAATGCGAAAGATCGGCACAAAAACAACCCTGACCACCTCCCCTGGAGATATGGCTCGGGGTTCATTGAGCCCCTCTACTGGTTCTGGGCCAGCCTCGAATGGGTTGACCAGGTGCAGGTTGGCAATGAGGTGGTCAACACCACGTCGTACTGTGAGCTGGCAATTGCCTTTCAGCTGCTTACTGGTCTGGTGCCTGACGCTGACACGACTGCAAGGGGCTCCACGATGCAGCAGAGAGGCCACTTCTTTGCTGCAGCTTCGAAGCGATTGGCTGCCATTCTTGGCTCTCAGCTGTGTCCTGGCGCCAGCGCACCTCTTCCTGAGGTTCTCCGAAGACTTCGTTTTCAGCACAGCCCTGGAGTTGAAGGCAGGTTCAGCCTGCCCAGCGACTACTGGCAACACTACTGTGCTGTCTGGGTGCGGGCCCACCTAGAGGTCCCTACTGTGGTTGGAGCTCCGAGGCAACTGAAATGGGTCCCCAACTTTGACCGACCTCCTGAGCCGCTGTGGCGCAGCACTGCTCCGATTGGCTTCGAGGCTGCCAGACGGTGGATTAATGCTAGGGACCTAGCTGCTGCTTTGGCGCGGGGCCCAACTCCAGCGCGTACAGCAGGCTCGTCAGCAGCCCAGCCTCGTGTGTGTCAGCCTGCTTCTGTGCCTCCCGTCCGGCGCTACCGTGGCAAGCAAACTGAAGATGTGGTGGGAGTGGTGGCGCCGACTGCTCCTGTTCCGAAGGCGCGTGCAATGGCCAGACTGCCTCGACTCGCTGAGGATGCCCTCACCGAGGCTGAGCAAGCCCAGTTGCAGGGTCTTTCGGGTGTCCGTAAGAACCAGATGCTCAAGATGCTCCGTCACAACCGTGATGCTGTGGAACGTGGCAAACACTTTGTCGTTGTTGGGCATGAAGCTGATACCATCGGTCAGCTGAAATGCCGGGACTGTGCTATGCAGGGCAGGTGGGCTGAGTGGCCCTACTTCGCTGTCAGATCGAGCTGCAAGAGAAGGTCTGATGGAGCCTCCTCTTCGTCGGCGAGCCGAGCTTGCTCTTCACGAGCTCGCTAGGCTTCTGTGGCTCGTTGTTGGCATGATTCGGCTGCTGATGCACTCTTCAGCCGTTTGGTTGCTCTTTGTGAAGCGGTCCAGCATGGTGGCTGCTATCACGTCAAGTACACCCTGACAGATAATGTGAAGGCCAAGATTCAAGACAAGGAGCTTGGGTGCTTAAATTAGTGTTCATGTTGGCTTTCTTCCGGTTACATACAGTTGCAGGGTTGGTTTAAACGCGTTGCATGTAGTTGCACGCATGTAAGCCAGCATGCTCAAGGTGTGAAGGCCAGGTGCCGCGCAGTTCACCCTCAGTCTCCGGACATGGTGGCACCTTTAGTCTCTCTCGAGGCTACAGAGAACTGCACGGACGTTTGGGGCACATGCGAGCCCAGGTTGTGGTTCAATGGCAAGCTCCTATCGAATGCCTCTCTTGTGGGGCAGTGTGGTCTTTGCTCAGGCTCCTTCGTTGAGCTCTCCTTGGCCCTTGTGTGGAGGAGGGGTCATCGGAAAAGACGCGCGCAATAAGCTGCTCGCTAACTCGGAAAAGCACGGCAAGTTTGCTCGTGCCAGATTTGCCGTTGACGAGCTGATTGACAAAGTCGCCGCGGATGTCCTCAAGAAGCTTGCTGAGGACAAGGCGGCCACCTTCCGTGATATCATTCAGGTTGCAAATAGCTTCTCCCCGCCAGTGGCATTGAGCTCCAAATGTCGTCCTGACGCTCTTCCTCCTGCCGCTTCTACTTCTACTGGTGGTGGTAAGGGCATGGGCAAAGCGCCACGGGGGAGATCTGCGCCAGTTGCTGCGGCACCCCCTTTTCGACTTTGATGATTGATGCTGCTGCTTTGCACGACCTCCAAGTCCGACCTGCTTCTTACTCTTCGTGCTCTTCACGGCGACGCTGGACAACAGTGCACAGACTGTGTGGTAGCGGGGACTTCCCTCCCCCTCCAGTCCTTCAGCCGTCAGGTTACAGTGCTGGCAGTAGCTCACCCTGCACTCGCCGGTCTCGCGGAGCTGGATTGCTTCTTGGATTGCTCTTGGCTGTGATCTTCGCGATTGGCTTTTGATGGTGCCTTGGTTCCGTGGCCTGCTGGTCTGGTCTGGACGGCGTGCGGATGGGCGAAGGTCAACGTCGGGCAGCAAAGGGCCATGCCTTGGCAATGACTGTCTCTAACTTCCGCCTCCGATCCCAAAACTTAAAAACCCGTTCGTCATTGCGATCGCAAGCAGCGCCTTTAGGACCCTGATGCCAACCCGGATGTGGGCGCCCACCAAGAGACCTGGGCCGATACGAAAGATATCCTGGCGCCTTGATGAGCGTGGCTACCGCAGCACCGGGCCCACCACGCGGCCAGGGAAACGGCTCCTTGGTCACCACCCTTCGGCCGATTGTTGCCCGGCTCCTTTTCGGCGGGCACTTTGACACCGAAACCACTCATCTGGAGTACTACTCGTGTTGCAGGGGCTTGGGTGGAGACTCATAAAGCCAACGATGGCATTGGCGTCATCTCCTTCTACGGGGTCTCTGGGGGCAATGCTGATGCTGGAAAGCGTGGTCAAACTGAGCGCTTCACTGCGCTCATGGGTTACTTGGGACCCTTTTTCCTGAAGCCACTCTTCATTTGCATGGACGCTAACCGCAGACCTCACGCAGGACCGGAGCGAGGTGCTGACGGCATTGGTGCGTTTGGGCTGGGTGGATGTGGCGGCTGGCCTGGGGCCCACCTTCCGCAGCGGCCCCTCCAGCATGTAACGAGGCCAACTCCAAGATCGCCTATGTCTTTGCAAACCCTGAGGCTCGGAAGTTGGTTGCTGGTGTTGAGCTTCACTGGATCCCGGGATACCAACATGCTGCGATTGACAGTTCGTTGCATCTTTCTTTGTCTACGGCTTTCTTTGTCTACGGGGCCAGGGCATCGCTTGGTCACACCATGTCGTTTGTCAGGACTCCTTGTGCGCGGGGGGTGCTGAAAAGTTTGACCTGTGGGCCCACTCATTGGCGAGAAGTTTTCGCCGCATCGCATTCTTCAACGCTGGAGGCTGGAGACTCTGAGGCTGCATGGTAACTTTTTGAATCCTTTGATGCTGCCTGCTTGCGAGCTCGCCTGGAACATGCTGGTTTCGCCGACTCTGGTGACTGCAGTGGGCGGACAGCCCTGAACCCACTTGGGATGCATTCCATGCAGAACACAGCTCGGAGTTAGACGGTTGGTACGCGCGCTGCCCTCAGGACCTCCCGGCCGACGCCCTCGAGCGCGCAGTTCGTGGTCGCAATCCTGCTACGGTCGGTGGCATTAGCTGTCGGGGCGGGGGATCGCGGGGGGTCCGGGCCACCAGCGGCGGCGCAAGCGGGCGGCCACCGACCGCCGCCGACGGCTGCAAGATGACCGAGCGCTGGCCGCTGAAAAGCTCTTGCCGCCCGCCCTCAAGCTCCCCATCACGCTTGACGAGAAAGCCAACCTGGTTTTTTTTGAAGACTGCGCGACACGGGTTGGAAATCGAGGAGCCCTCGCCTGCGTGTGCGCACAGTTTTGACCAACAGGTGCTGCAAGGCCTGTGTGGCTACCGTGCTCTTCATTGCAAAGCCACTGCCGTGTGTCTTTCCTGGCGAGGCCTCCGCCTTTTCCTCGAAATGGCGGTGCCGTTTCAGGCCTTTGACGCTGCGCGTCGCCAGTCGTGAGGTTTGGGAGTTCAGGGATGCTCGTGGGAGGGCGCTGGCATCCTGAGCCACTTGGCACGCCAGTGCAAGATGTCGCGATGGCAATGGACTGAGGCCTTTGGTTTGGAAGCTACACATGGCCTGGGCATTGATCCTCGTTGTCCAGTCCGGGGGTGGTACCAACACCGTCTTCGGCATGCCCTTTTTTCCAGTGCCCCATGCAGACTGCAAGGACCTGCGCGGCAGTGAGTTATACGAACTCACTATTCGGCTTCTGGTGGGTCACAGTCTTTGCTTGGAGCAACGTTGCCGTCTTCGCTTCTTGTTTGAGCGTGCTTCCAAACGCACTGGTTGCTCGGCTATCTGCCGAACTGCGACATGGATATGATTGAAACCTCTTTGCGCATCTCTCAAGTGTGCACCGCATTTGCAGCCCAGCACCGAGCCCTGCTTGCTGCTACGACTCAGGTGGAGCGCGACTCTTGGCCTGCCTGTTTCTGGAAGGCTGGCATCGTGCCCCATGACCCGCTGCTTGCTGCCGCCAACCGTGACTTCTCCTTTTCCTCGAGCTCGGAGGTTTGGATACGCGATGGTCGCCTTGTCTGCTCTCACCATCGCCCGGGCGGGATGTGGCGCCTATAGCACAGGGTGAGGTGCCAGTTCTTGCGGCAATGCGCGCCGCAAAGAGAGCCGTCCCAGCCAAGGCTGAGGATGCTGAAGATGGTGCTGGGGCCCCGCCCAACAAGAGATGCCAAGGGTCGGCGAACCGAACGCCGAAGCGTCGGAATCAACAAGGAAGCCAGGGGCGAAGAAAATACCAATGATGGTATCAGAGGCAGCAGGAACATCAATTGACACACCTGCCCTTCCGAAGTTGGTGCGAAAGCTGTGTGTCAGGAAAGTGCAAGGAAGATGCTCATCCGGCGAGGGCGCCGTGCTGAGAGGCGAGGTACCCAGAATTGGGTTGGATTACTGCTATCTGAAGAGGGTCTTGCGGGATGAAATTCCCAAGGAGCCGAAAACCTTGAAAAGCTCTCATCCTCCGAGAAGACGGAGCGCTGCTTATCCTGGTAATGGTGGACCAGGACACAGGCTGCATCTCAGCGCGGTCACAGCAAAGGGCGTGAATGCCTACTCGGTCCACGTGGTTGTGGAGATGCTGAAGTTCCTGGGGAGACAACGCCTCATCCTGATGACCGATGGTGAGCCTGCAATCCGCGCTTTGGCGGAAGCTGCAGCAAGGGAGATCGGCGGCGGCGCAGGTGCTCAACACCAACATGCTCATAAGGAGACGCACAGGCAAACCAACGGTGCAGCTGAGAGAGCTGTCCTAGAGGTGGCCCGACAAGTCAGGACACTAGTGCATGCTCTGGAGAGCAAGTACCCCGAACTTCACACCACAAATGAGGTGGACCTGTGCCCGTGGTTGGTTCGCCATGCTGGGTGGCTGCTCACGAGGTACTTAGTGAAAGCGGATGGTTGTGGAAACATTCGAAACCGTGCAGTACAAGATCGACCGCGACCAGCCGTGGAAAGCTCGATCCACAAACCTCCATTGGGGTATGGCCGGGCCTCAGCCGCAGATAGAGATCAGCTTATATCACAATGGAGCGCCAGATCAAGCACGGCTCCACGCCACGATGTCCTGGATGCCACTGTGATGATCCTACGCCACACAACGAGGAGTGCAAGGAACGCTCCAACAAGCTGTATCCTCGGACAACGCCGTCCGTGGAAAAGGACAAATGGAGGTTGATGCAGAAAGCGCCGCTCAACAAGAGCATTCCGCAGGATCCTCAAGAGACGCGGGAGGTCCTTCTCCTAGCACACCTGCGAGTGAACCGAGCAAGAGCTCCAGACCCAGTCGCACTCAGGCCAAAAGGAGAAACAGCACTAGCACACAGGACCCAGCGCCAAGATTGCAAGGAAGAGAGGAAGGGCCGCGAGAAAAGAGCTGCCGAGCTATCCTTGGAGGAGGCCATCGAGCAGGATGTGACGCTCGAAGAGCTGCTGGGGTCCCTTCCTACTCTTCACGAGATTCCGCTGGTTGCTAGGTACCCTGAAGCAGGTACTGTGACTGAGGCCTTCGACGAGAGAACTGGTGAGGAGCTCCCCTTGGAGACGGTTAAGCGTGCCAGAGGCCGCGAGCTGGACAAGATGCTGGAGCAAAGCGTCAAGCAACACAGCACCTGGGAGGAAGCTCGAAAGAGAAAGCTCAAGATCGTTAAGTCTCGGTGGGTGGACGGCTGGAAGGCCTTGCCAGGCGATTCCCAAGGGGTCAGGTCGAGATGCGTCGCCCAGGAGGTTAACAATTACCAACGTGAGGACGTGAGTTCTGGAACGCCACCTTGCAAAGCCCACCGTATGGTGCTTGCGCATGCAGCTAGAAGGCGCCAAAATGAAGCTGAAAACAGAAAGCTGGTTGGCCGCTACGATGTGAGCGTTGCTTTCTTGCACGCTGAAGCGACAGGGAAGATAGCTGTGCTCCCGCCAAAGGATGTCGATGAAGGGCATTTTTGGTATTTGCTTATGGCAATGGAATGGGACGAGGGAAGCCTCAAAGCAATGGTCAATCAAGATTGCTCAGACGAAGAAGAAGAAGCACGGCTTCTTGGAAGTAGCAAGTGTGCCCGGCCTTTTCTGTCATCCAGTCCATGACCTGATGTTGTCATGCCACGGGGATGACTTCCTCGCCAGTGGCAGTGCTGAGGCACTGGACTTCGTGGATGAGATTACGGTACGAGAATACGAGACGAAGGTTACTGCCTCGCATATGACCGGCGCACTGCGCTGGACAATGCACACCCAAAAGGCGACCATTTGCATCGAAAGATCAATTGGAGCCCGAAGGGCTACACGTGGGAAGCAGATGGTAAGTATGTTGAGTTTTTGGCATTTGGTCTAGGCCTCAGCAACGCCAAAGGTGTGGACACACCCGCAAGCAAGGATTGTGGAAAATCCGATCGTGATGCCGGGAAGGAGCTAGATTCTGAGGAGTCCACTGTGTTCCGCAAATTGGCGGGCACCGCGCTGTACCTGTCCTTGGACAGGCCAACGATACAGTTTGCGGTGAGTGACAAAACCTCTGGCATGGCTCGCCTACTGCGATTGCATATGCATCGACTTCGCAGGTTGGGCCGGTATCTTATTAATCATCCACATGAGGTGTGGAACTATGAGTACTAGGATGCGCCCATGGAGCTGGCAGTGTACACGGACTCAGACTGGGCAAGCGACACTCGAACCCGCAAAACCATGAGCTGCTATGTGGAGATGTTCGGGAAGCACATGATTGAATCATCGTGCGCTCGGCAGGCCGCTGTGGCGCTAAGCTCCGGGGAGGCGCAGTATTACGCCCTTACTCGAGGAGTGGCTGCTGGGATTATGTCGCAGCAGATCTGGGAGATTATCCAGAAGGGAACCACCGCAGCCCGACGGATCGCCCACCGCAAGGGCTGTGGAAAGGTGAAGCATCTTTCCATCCGGGAGATTTGGCTGCAGGACTTCGTTCAGGAAGGCAAAGTAAAGGTCGTGAAGGAACCAACTGCGACTAACATCGCGGACGTTGGTCCAAAGCTCTTTCCGGAGCCCGTGTGGCTCGTCAAGATGATGCCGCGGGGAGAGGCTTAACCGCGGCGATTCTGGCTGCTTGAGCTGTGCAGCAGCAATGCGTTATCCCGAGGAAGCTTGTGGTCATCTGAAACGTGCTCGGAGGATGAACCCTCTCAGTGTCGTCACAATGCCAGTGCAGGAAGCCCAGACACGCGGCTACACTGCCTGTGGAAACTGCGGCGATTGAGAAAGCTCCCGCTTATCTCTGTGCAGAGCACGGGATGCATCTGATGAGTGGCAACCATCTCTAAGAGATACGTGCCATGGAGGGGTGTTAGGATGTATAGCTCATTCCTAGCATGCACGCGCACATGCTTGCATAACTTGAGCACTTAGGTGGTCTGCACGTGAGCAAAAAAAGGGTACCTGGAACCTTTGCATCTTTGCATAAGTTTCAGTGGTGCTAAAGTTCCCCGCCCGTGGAGGAGGGCATCCCGCCTGACCAGCAGCGCCTCATCTTCGCTGGAAAGCAGCTGGAAGACGGGCGTACGTTGTCAGACTACAACATCCAGAAAGAATCGAGATGCCGATCTGGGATGGTTTTTAGTGTCCGTTATTGGTTGATTGTAGAACACTAAGTTTGATGAGTCGTTGTGGGGGCTTGTTGAAAGTCGATACCTTTAGGAGAGCACCTTGCACTTGGTGCTGCGCCTTCGTGGTGGCATGCAGATCTTCGTCAAGACGTTGACCGGCAAGACCATCACTCTTGACGTTGAGGCCAGGATACCCTGACAAGCATCAAAAGAATCAAATCGAATCGACAGAAGTTGCAGCTGCATCAGAACAAAATAAGACCGTATCGGCATACTTCTTGATAATGTTTTGCCCTTGAACCGTCGAGGCCTCAGACACGATCGATAATGTGAAGGCCAAGATTCAAGACAAGGAGCTTGGGTGCTTAAATTAGTGTTCATGTTGGCTTTCTTCCGGTTACATACAGTTGCAGGGTTGGTTTAAATGCGTTGCGTGTAGTTGCACGCATGTAAGCCAACATGCTCAAAGTTCCCTTGCACGTGGAACCAAGGAGGGCATCCCGCCTGACCAGCAGCGCCTCATCTTCGCTGGCAAGCAGCTGGAAGACGGGCGTACGTTGTCAGACTACAACATCCAGAAAGAATCGAGATGCCGATCTGGGATGGTTTTTTAGTTTCCGTTTGATGAGTGGTTGTGGGGGCTTGTTGAAAATCGATACCTAGGAGAGCACCTTGCACTTGGTGCTGCGCCTCCGTGGTGGCATGCAGATCTTCGTCAAGACGTTGACTGGCAAGACCATCACCCTGGACGTCGAGGCCGTAGTCAAAAAAGTTTGTGATTACTTGTCATTCGTTCCAAAACGTTAAAACCGGATCACAAGGAGTTTACGTCCGGACTAGGGGAAAGCTAGTTTGTTTCATCGGTTTCTTTGACCCGTCCGTCGAGGCCTCCGACACAATCGACAATGTAAAAGCCAAGATGGTGCTTGGTTTCCTTTCTCAAAGTGTTCGTATTACTGTTCCGGTCACATCGAAAGGCAGGGTTGCTGTACATGCATTGTGTTTGCTTCCTTGCATAAGCTTCAGTGGTGCTAAAGTTCTCCGCGCGGGAACCAAGGAGGGCATCCCGCCTGACCAGCAGCGCCTCATCTTCGCTGGAAAGCAGCTGGAAGACGGGCGTACATTGTCGGATTACAACAGCGCGCATGAGGCCACCTCCACGTGGTGCGCGTGGGCACCGTTGGCTACGCTGATGGTGTGCAGAGGTCTCCTAGCTACGCTTCTTCTTCTGATGATTGGTCTGGGGCGACCGGTCATTCGAGAGGAGACCTATGTGACAAGGCTCCGGGCCTTGACTTTCGGCTTCTACTTTGTGGACGCCGTTTCCATGGCAATGATGAGATGGCTGTCTGGGCTATGGCGGCACCTGGAGGTTTTTCTTTGGGGAGCTTTGGCCCAGCATGACATTTTTCAAATGACGGCTTTGAGGCTTCATCGCAGACGGCGTCATGGGCGACCTCGACTGCGGCGGAAGCACCAGTTTGTTGGCTGGCGGCCAAATGGGGTTCCGATTGGCTGCTGGGGACCGGGAGTTCACAAGAGGACACCCGGCCATGCGACTTTTCTTCGACAATGGCTGCAGGGACGCTCGGCTTTCTCTGCAGACATCGTGGCTGGAAGGCGGCGCCCGTGGACGCGATGGAAGAGACGGCGTCTTCGGCGGCATCGGTGGTTCTTGCTTCGATGCCCTTCGCTGCCAAGGCCGGTTGCTTTTAGTCATTTCAGTCGTTGCGCGGACGGGACGCGAGGACCCAGAAGAAACAACAAGAGCCGGAAGGGCAGAATCAAGATTAGATGGAGTAGCGCGGGCGGGACGCCAGGACCCAGAAGAAACAACAAGAGCATTGAGTGCCGATACAAGAGCCGTAGGGGCCAAGGTTTGGGGTTTCGAGGTGCAGGTTCAGGTCAGGTTGGGTTGGGGGTTTCGGTGTCGGGCCGGGTCGGCCCTCACAGTAGCCCTTCGGGGCTTAGTGCCCAATCCTCCCGCGACCGTGGTTGCTCTAGCCATGGCAATGGTTGCAAGGCATCGCGGCAGAAGGCGAGGGTGACTTCCACGAACGGTGAGGCGGAGTGCATGCCTGTTGCAATGGGTTCCGGGCTTGCTTCCGCTCCCACGGGGACACGAGATGCAAGATGCGCTTATGGGCCGATTTACGGCTGCAATGGTTTTGCTTCTATCGATTCGCACGGCATTGCCCTGACCCGTGTACAGCGCCCTCCACAACAGGAGGACGATCAGGACGCTGCTGGAGAACGAGGAGATGGACGTGCCGCGGGGTTTAGCGACTCTGCTTTTGGCGCTTTTAGTTTTGGTTTTGGGAGCACGGCCGCCACTACGGCTGCTGACTTTCCTTTGCTACGTGGAGGAAGCAAGCTCCTGCTGGGCCTCCAGCAAGTTTTGCAGGAGGTTGATGGCGACGACGAAGAGGAAGAGGACAGCAATGATGCATGGTTGCGTGCTGCACTGGTTCGGTTGGTTGAGCGCCAGCCCAAGAACCTGTTACAGGAACTCAAGAGCTTGGTGAAACAGGCCGGTCGGCGAGTACATCGCGCGATGGACGAGGACTACGGCGGCTACGAGGGTGACTGGCATGAGCATTGGCATGAGCAAGCCGACGTTGGCGAGAACTACGTTGCATATGGCTGGACCCAACAGCAGTCGCCTACTTTAGGTGATGAGTGGTGGACCGGCTGGCAGCAGGATGCATCTGGTTGGTGGTTTGACACAGGCGGCCAAAGGGCTGCATCAGCATGGGCGCGCGACGAGTGGGAAGACTGGAGCAAGGATGTCAATGGTAGGTGGGCTCCCGCTGGCTCCTCCTGGCCTTCCTCAGCCAGGACCGTGCTTTACTCGCAAGCTGCATCTTCGACGGCGGCTCCTTCTCCGGCCAGGCATGATGCCAGGACCAAGAAAGTCACAGAAAACGAGTGGCAGGTCGTGCAATCCAGGCGCCAGCAGCGTCAGCAGAAGGCGCTTGATGCGACGCGCAGCTGGCATGTGCAACAGGGCGCATGGGCACCGCCCGCAGGTCATGCGATCGGTCACGTCACCAACGCGCAGGATTTGGGACATCAGCTCGACGTCTCCTCCGGCGTGGCTTGGGTCATGGAAACTGACGACGTGGACGAGGTTCGTATGGCCGTGGGCATGGTGGAGGGAGCCATCAAGGATGAGGATAGGCAATCGCTCCGAGTCGTTTTCAAAGGCGATGGCAAACAGCTCGAGGAGGCTGGCATCGCGTTTGGGTGGATGACGGTGCCAGGTATGGTCAACGGCGCGCTGCGGCTTCGAAAGTGGCCGGTGGCTTCAGCTGGATCCGAGAAAACCCTTGCGAATCTCATCACAAAGACTGCGGAAACCATTGTGGTTCAGAGGCCACCGCCCAGCATTCGGGAGAGGCGTGCTTCTACCTTTGTGGTTCGATGTGAATGTGACCGCAAGCTGGCGCCCATCGCTTGGAAACATGCGTTGGCACGCCCAGCAACGGTGGTGCGCCAGTGGGCGCGCGCGGTGGGCATCAAGCAAGCCGACATCCTGGACACGTTCAGTCCCAAGCGGGTGGGCCAGGATCGGGTGGTAGTCATGCTGCGCGTGCTCACAACCGAGGCAGTGCAGGGTCTGGTTCGTGCGAGCGGGCGTTCTGGAGGTGAAGGGGCTCAGGCTTCTGTGTGGTTTGCGGACGTTCTTGGCGACAAGGCGCAGCTCAAGCTACCCGACAAGGTGCAGTGGATCTCGTGGGATTCTCAAGAGTCATGGGAGGACTACGGGAGTCGTGTGCGCAAGCTCGCGGGCACTGAAGGAGTTGCCCTGGGCACCCACCAACTCGGGGTACGGATGTGGGCTGATGACAAGCGTTTTCAACCTCAGGCGTGCACTTGGCGGCTGCGCGGCATGCGCAACAATTAGGATGCTGCGGAGACGCAGGATTTGTTGCTGCAGCTCGGTTTCGTGGAGCCCGTCATTGAGCAGAAAGTCCGAGGCAAGGGAGTGGAATGGATCTTCAAGGCGCGCCGCGAGGACTCGTTGGATTCCATTCAACGCATGCTCGATTGGGGCGGCGATGGTGAAGACCTCAGCGAAGTGACCGTTGTCAAGGAAGCTCGTCGTCGACGCGGACTTGCTGCTACCGCGCTCCGCACGGAGCGTGTGGTCAACTTTACGGCTAAGCCTGCGGATCGTCCAAAGCCACGGTCTCGTCCCGCAGCTTCTGGTCCCGTTCCAAAGCCCGCCACGCCCACCGTGGCTGCGAAGGCCTCTGCCACCACTGCTTTGCCTTCGAATGCGCAAATTGCCGTGAATGACACTGCGACACCTTCTGATGCCAAGAAGCGTGGAAGGGACGAAGCCGAAGCCACGGACTCCATGGAAGTAGAGACTCCTGTGGAGTGGCGGCCGAGCACGGGGAGGGTGGTTGAGAACGTCGGCGAGGGCAACTGTCTTTGGCATTGCCTGGCTGCCTTCTCCTCGACTCCCGCCGTTAAGCGATCTCATCGCCAGATCCGGCAGTACACCGTGCATTGCATGCGTGAACGCTCTGATGAGCTTCGCCCCATTTGGGAAGCGATGGGCAAGTTCAATGATGCTGGCAAGCCCTCCCAGTTTGAATGGGAAGATTACCTGAGTGATCAGAACACGCATGGACAGTGGTCTGGGGCGTTTGAGGTGGCGGCGTGGGCGGTGGCCACGAACCACCGCGTTTGGATAACAACGGACACTGGCAAACTCCATCTGATCAATCCCGACGTTGACTTGGAGAATGCTTGGGTGGCCTTGCGCTACCGCACCGAAGGCCACTACGAGCTGTGGGCCGGAGCGCGCGAGGAAGAGTTTTGGGCTCGTGCCTGTGACCTCTCCGTTCAGGGACGTCAGCAGCTGGACGAGCTGCTCCGTGGAGGGGGGCGCCCCACGTGCCGGCTGTCTGACTTTGCTTCTAGCCGTGCTAGCCGTGCCCCGTCTGCACGCAAAGCTTCACTGTCACGCACTGCCTCTCGGAAACGAACCCAGGGTGTGAAAGCGAAGAGGACCCTTAGCGACTTTGCGTCGACGACCCAAAACCCCCAGCCCAGCAGTCCTGCTAGGCCTTCTAGCACCCCCGACTCAACGGCCGGTCCCGAGTCGGGTCCCCTTGCGTCCAGTTGCCGCCGAGCGACACCGGAGTCTGCTTCAGGTTTAGGCCCTTCCCCGTCGGGTTCCCTAGGCACCCCCGCCCCACCGGCCGGGCCCGGGGCGGGCCCCGTTGAAAGGCAGGTTAAGCGCGCTAAAGTCTGCACGACGGCACGCTGCACTCTGTCCGACTTCGCTACGCAGGCTGGTAGTGATGGCTTGAGGGGACAGACGAGCGTTCACGCTGTTTCGGTCAGGCACCAGGCCAGTGATGACCACGGCGCCGGCGATGATGAGGAGCCGCAGTCATGGGAATGCGATGTCTGCCACTGTGTCGTCAGGCCTGGGGTTCGCTCATCCTTGACGGTGATGCGGAACAACCACATCATTAGGGCCCATCCGAATGTCCCTAAGTCCGCGTTTTCGCAGCTGTGGTGGGATAGGGCGAGCGAGGTCCCGATCCAGGATGTGCCTCAGGCACTTCGTGTCTGGACTTGTAGCTACTGCCACAAGGGTATACGTGATGACCCTTCTCTGCCCGAGCATGTGGTGCAAGCGGCAGGGCGCAAGCACTTGTATCGATGCACCGGTCGCAGGATCAGTTTGCGTGCCAACTTGACTCGGTGCTCCAAGCTTGGGCTTACTAGGCAGGTTGCAGGTGGGACCACCAGCGCTAAGGCGCGGGTCCAGCAGATGAAGGTTGATGCTCTGCCGCAAGGGCCTACGCGACACGTGGCTACTCATGTCATTTGTCCTTTCCCACGGCGCAGTCGCGGTGACAAGGCGCCCTTGCGACTCATTTGGGGTGGATGCGCCAAGTGTGCCCGTCAGTTTGAGTACTTTGCTGCCAGTATGACGCGCTGTTACCCCGAGGAAAGGGCCAAGCACCTGCGAGCCAATGTCACGGTCTGGAAGAAGTACCGCGTTGACTCTGCGAGCCTTTGGTCTGAGCTGGTGCGAGCGTGGGGTCTCACCTCCGCTGAGGCGCTCAAGCTTGACCAGTGGGCCACCAAGCGTTTCCGCAAGGCCATGGACGGAGTGCCACCCTTGACTACCTCGCTGTGGCAACGCGACCTCTGTGCTGAAAACATTGAGCCTAACCCTGGCCCTTGTAGTTTAACGTATCTCAACGTGAATGGGCTTGCCGGCGCTTTTCGGGCGCTCCAGCGCCTGCCTTGCAGTAACTTGGAAGTCGTGTGCTTGGCTGAGACCCAAGCTAACCAGCGTCAACACCGGGACCTTCAGCAACGACTCGCTTCGCTTGGGTTCCGCTCCTTCGGGGTTCAAGGCCGCGTTGGCACGGATGCGTCAGGCCGGGCCTTTGCGCGTGGCGGCCTCCTGGTGGCTGTCAAGGGCCACGTCAAGGCGAGATGCGTGAACGTTCACTCTTCTGCCCGAGGCGATATGGTTGTAGTGGACTTCCTGGGTTTCTTCTTAGGGTTTGTTTGGCAGCGCGAGGCTGAGATACCCCAAGGGGGCTTAGATGACCAAGTGCTGTTGCTCAAAGGATTGGCCGAGGAGCGCTTGGTGCCGTGGGCGGCAGTGGGGGATTGGAACCAGATTCCTACGTTGCATCCCGCGGTTGCTTCGGACAGTCTTTCTTGGCATGCTCCGCTTGATGATGTCGGTGTCCCATTGCCTTCGAGGTTTGGTTACATGCGCTGTATCGACTACTTGGTGGGAGTTATGGGTGGACCTTGGCACTCCTTCTGCCATTCGCCACTGGTGCTCTCTGATCACAAGGCCCTCTGCTTCGCCATCGACTTCCCCAGCCTTGTCGAGGCCCCGTGCTACCTTAGGCCGACTGCGTGCTACAAGAAGCCTGCCCACCTCAGTGCGTGTCAATGGAGCCAGCTCGTCAGCAAGTCTTGGCAGCTTCAGGTCCCTCCGGCCCCTGGGGGTAATCCTGATAGCGAGTGGCGCGCTTTCTGCGATGTGCTTGAGACTACTTTGCAGGACGCCGCGCGCGAGGCAGGTCATGCTATTCACACAGGTGCCACTCGAGCCAAGGGCTCTACTCCGGTGTTGATGAAGTCGGGCGAGTTTCGTCGTTTTACCTCTACTCCCACCTCGTTTCAAGAGCGCAAGTTAGAGAAGCTTCTGGGACGGCTCTACGAGCTTGAGCGCCAGGAGAGGCAAGGGCCGCCGGACCATGGTCTTGCTGACGCTGTACACCGCACGTGGCCTAAGCACCTTGGGCGGTTTGGTGGTTGCGCGGAGGCCATACGTGTGGTGCGCGCCAAGCTCCAACAGGTGCGTGACAGTGGCATGCGGCAGCGCATCTCTCACTGGCGCCAGAGGCTTGCCACAGGCGGTCGTGCGGCTTCGCGCTGGCTTGCCACTTCGCAAGTTGTTTCTCCCCACACCTTGCTGCCACCTGCTGCCAACCAGAATGGTGGAGAGGCTCCGCTTCCTGCTTCCTCTGCCCCTGAGTGCTTGAATGAGCTCCGCCGTTACTGGAACACGATTTGGCAGCGACCCGGCACGCCCGAGGAGCTGGGGCGACTTCGAGAGGGGCGGCTCTCCAGGCCCCGCGGCCAACGCATGGAAGGGGATTGGCACATTAGTCCTGAGTTGCTTGTGCAGCACTTGAAGGCTAAGCTGCAGGGCAGCGCCGGTGCCGACGGATGGCGTGCGGACGAGCTTCTGGCCTTTCCGATGGCTACCTGGCGGTGTTTTCTGGACCTGTGGCATAGTTGGTGCCAGCAGGGTGCTTTTCCAAGCTGCTGGCGACACTCTCGGCAAATCTTTTTGCCCAAGGCAGAAGTGCTGGATGGCGCCCTTGAGGTGGACCGGATGCGCCCTATTTGCGTCCAGCCGGTGCTGTGCAGGGCCTTGTCTAGCTGCATGGCACAGCTGTGCCGCGAATGGGTGTTGACCAAGGTGGACGGTTGCACTTTCGGCGCTTTGCGTGGGCGCGGGGTGGAGGCCGCGGTGCTCCTGTTGGATGCCGCGCTTGGCAAAGACAGCATCATGTTTTCGCTTGACTTCCGTAAGTGTTTCGATATGATGTCGCCCGAGCCCGCCATTGGCATTTTGGAACACGAGGGCCTTCATCCGCAGTGGGCCCGTCATTTGCACTTCATGTGGATTGACCAGCAGCGATGGCTCCAGCTTGGCGTTTGGACTGACTCCGACAGCACTTTGGTCCCCAACTCGGTGCCCCAGGGTTGCGCGATGGCGCCTTTAGCGCTGGTTTGCCTGCTCGCAGAGGCTTCCAGGGACGTGCCCCGTGTTGCCGCCGAAGCCGGCTTCAGGCAATGCATCTTCATTGACGACAGGACTTTTGTCACCAGTTCCGTGGCAGCTGCGCTGCGGGCCTGGCGAGGATGGACAGGATGGAGCCATCGATTGGGCTTGGCAGAGAATGGCCAGAAGTTGTGTGTGCTGTGCACGCATCCGCAAAAGCGTCACGAGCTTGTGCAAGGTGGAGTGCCAGTGCGTGCTTTGGCTGAAGAGGCGCGAGTCCTTGGAGTCGACTTCTCCCTGGGCTCCACGACGGCTACGGCCACCCGCGACCAGCGACTGCTTAAGGCTGCGGCCATCCTGCAACGCTTGGCCAACCTGCCAGTTGGGCAGGCAACGAAGCGGCTCCTGTTTCGTACTCGAGCTTCCCCTCTTGCTTCTTGGGGAGCCTGGCTTTCCGCTGACCCGGTGCGCGAGAGTGCCAAACTCACCACTCAGCTCAAGAGGTGTTTAGGCCAGGTCAGTACCATGGGTTCTAGGGACTTGTGGCTTCTTCTTGAGGGGCATTGGAGTGCGCCGGCTTTCACGGCTGCGGTGTCGGCTACTGCTGCGTATGGCCGCGCAAAGGCATATTGGGATGCTCAGGGCTTGCAACTCCCTCCTGCGCGTTGGTTCCGTAGGGTTTCGGGTTTCTTTGGGGGCCTAGGCTTTAGACACGTCCTGCCTGACACTTGGAGTCATCCGATTGTCGGTGACTTTGTGATGGCCGGGCCTCAACCCCGACAGTGGATAGGGCGCACGGTCCATCTCCTCAGAGAGTGTTGGCGCTACGCGCGCTTTGCTGCCTTTGTTGAGCACAATCGCAGAGACTCACGTGCTTTGAGGGGTCATGTCGTGTACGATCCGCTGCAGGTCTCTGCGGCCAGGAAAATGTATCTGCAGGCCTCTGGGGACGAGAGGGCTGTCATGCACGGCAGCGCTTTGAGCTCTGCTGTCTACGGTGTCATGTCCGGCCATGGCGCGCCGTCTACTTGCCGTTGGTGCCACTGCGCGGTGGTGCCTACGTGGGAACATTTGGCGTGGCATTGCGACCACTTCTCGTCTGGCAGGCCCCCGAGGCCTGATGATGCTCTTCGCCACCGGCTTGGTTGGCCTTCACGGTGTGCAGATGCTTCGGCATGGGCCTTGCTGCGCTTCTTAGCAGACATTCGGCGTCAGGTGCTTGACTTCCATGGGCCACCTCCGGTGGCTGCGCATGGAGGTCGCTGAGGTGATCCCTTCGGCTTCTTGGGCGCGTGGGCACTCCGCTCGCTTCCGCAGGGCTTGTGTCCGTTACAAAGACCTACCTTGTCGGATTACAACATCCAGAAAGAATCGAGATGCCGATCTGGGATGTGTTTTAGTTTCCGTGATTGGTTGATCGTAGAACACTAAGTCTGATGAGTCGTTGTGGGGGCTTGTTGAATAATCGATACCTAGGAGAGCACCTTGCACTCGGTGCTGCGCCTGCGCTGAGTTTGCTGTGGTTGCAAGCACTAATCCACAGCTTCCTGTGCAGAGCATTCGTGGACACAGTGATTGTACCTTCTAGCGAATTGCGGCTTCAATCTCCGAGAGGGAGTGGTTACCATAGTTTGTTTTGTAAATTTTGCGGACTCATGCAGTGAAGCTGTGCATCACACTTTTGTTCCCAAGCCTGTCAAGGCATTAGGTGATACACCCATAAGCAGACGTTCCAGTAGCCTAGAGGATGTAAAACTGCTGTCATGCTTGGGGACTTCCAGGGTTGAATCGCGCTCAGCCGTTTGTACAGACTTCATCCTGGCCTCGGAGACTCGCTCGTGACTTGAGCCAAAACCTGCAGAGCTTACTGCGAGCTGTTGGGAGGGTCCGTTGGACCATTTCGGGGCAGGGCTTTTGTAAGCCACACCTCCATTGCCAGGCTTTGTTGCTGGAGCTGCCAGATGTGGTCTTGAGAAGTATCAAGCCGGATCATCGTATTCATAACCAGTCGGCTAGTCGAACTCGTCTCGGTGCCACAAGCCCGATGCTCACTCGAATCCCACATCGCAAAGGGTTACAATGACTTGAGGGCCAAAGACAGCGATTTTTTTGTCAGCATTGTTCCGGTGCGATCCTTCTTCTCTCCGAAAGCCGGAAACCCGTCGACGTGAACACAATCTTTCTTCAGCAAGGCTGTTCAGGGATGAGGAACTCCCCCGGATTGAGAGGCCGTGGCCCATGTGGAGCCCAGGCAAAATCTGAGCCGAACGAAGATCCCCAAGCGGCAGAAGTCTGAGACTTGAATTTCTGCAGGCAGTGGTGGGGCTTTTGCGAGTCCTGAGCTCAAACTACTTGCTGCAGGGTTGTTTAGTCAGGCCTTAGGGCTAAGAGGGTTCTGCGGTTTGCCGGGAAGCGCTCAAGGCTGGAAGCATCGCAATCCAGAGGTTCGGTTGGAGAGTTGGAGATTTCAACAGATCCTTCGTGACCTACTGCTACTGCCTCTAGCGATCCAGGGAATGTGGAGTGATGGATCGTAGTTTGTGGCGCTGATCGACAAAATCGTGTGGATTGGGTAGCTTGCGCATTTGGAACTTTGTGCTGAGGACGGGGGCATTTAGGATTTGGGATCGGGGGCTTTAGGAACTTGGTGCGGGTCTGCAAGCTTAAATGGGGTTTCTCGATGCAACGAGCCTTGCACCTTATGTGGCGGAGTTGTGCATGGCCCTGCGCCTGATACCGAAGCGTCACCGTAATGTCGGCTTTGCCATGGTCCGTCAGCACCACCGCAGCAACGCAAAGTGTTTGGGTTCTGCAACCGAGACGAAGCTGAGTCCGAAAGAGCCGGGACATGACAACTGTGGGGAACCAGCTCCCAAGCCCTCAGTCGGCCTATTTCAGACCTTTTGATGCTCCCACCAACAACCCAAAATGCCGATCCCTGAACCCCCCAATTCAAAAACACAACAACAAAATCAGCGCCCGCGTCTCAGGGCCGAGGGGAAGAACAACCGGCGGGATCCGCAGAGGTCGGAAGGATATGGAAAGAATCGCTAATCATGTCTTTCGTTCTTGTCATGCAGTCGTTGTTCTGAGTGTACATGTTTCACCTAGTTGTGGTAAGTTGCACTATGATGATGGATGTGCTCTAACCTGATTTCATTTTAGTTACCTTATTCTCTATTGCGTGCTCTTGGTTGGCACCATTCTGCTTGTTGCTGTCATCGACTCGCTGGTACTGGCGTTGTTATCGTTATTGCTGTTCTTATCGGTAGCTCGCTGGCAGATGCAAACCAGTGAGTGAGAGGATGCGAGAGGCTTCACCTCACCCAAGCACCATCCGAAGTGGTCGGTATCTACTGTACTCTCGCCTTGGATGTTAGAAGTGGGGTCGTCTCGGTTGTGCGCGTAACAAAACTGGTTCGGCCTTCACCTCGTACAGGCAAGCTCCTGAGGAAGCTGGACCCCCTAAACCTGGCAGAGACCGGCTTCCGGCAATTCCGTCACAGGCACACCCTCCACTCCTTGCGGCGATTTTTTTCGCTGCGGGAGCAGGGGACCCTTCCGAAAATACGGCTGGCTCCTGAAAGATGCACAAGTGCTCATTCCTGCAAGTATGAAGCATTGCCGCTCGCAAAGACATTGAGTGCCGCAGTGTTGGTATGATAGTAATGCCCGTGATGGCATCACTAATCTCATCGTCAATTGTCCCAATAGTGATAAACAAGCACAGCATGGTACCGGTCTGGGCAATCATGATAATAATGATGAGGAAGTGTTCATGGTGATTGTGATATCAGCGAGAGGTAATGTTCACTAAACTCGCAGACATGCATGAACACATGCTGATATGACGCAGCTTGTGCAAAGATAATCTCTGACGACACCGTCATCAGTGTTGGTACCATTGCCATCCTCATCACCGTTATTGCCAACACCATGACCCTCCGCCTGCGCCTCCTCCTCCTCCTCGTTGTTGTCCCTTGTCAATGAGGCCTAGCTCGGGCCAGCCGGATGCCCAGACAAGGGATACTAAGTAGTGTAGATTTCAGTTCAGGCTTCTTGCCGGGGCTAGGTTGCGGTTCGGGATTTCGGGTGTCCGAAGTTGAGGTCCTTTTTGGTGGTGTCTACACGCAAGCTGCCTCGCAGAATCACGGAGTCTGTTTAACAGGATTTAGGGGAAAGTGCCAGCACGATAGTTGGCTTGCACTTGATTTGAATGCTCAGCTGCTCGCAACAGCACGAACAGGACATGACCGTCAACCAGCACCTAACAGTAACTGTGCTTGCGCTGCATTGGCAGCGCATCCGTGTGACTCCGCAGCCCTCCTCAACACCGAATTCAGTCGTCTCCTCTATCTCGGCCTTGCCCTGCACTTTGCCAAGCCTTCTCAAGAGGTCAATCGACTTCAGCCGCATTCAGAAGGTTGTTCATGGAAGGAGAGACTTTTGGCACCAGTTCTCCGCAAATTGCAAGGCCTGACCCCGAGACGCACCAGTACTGGGTGGGGACCCTGGCGCCGAGAATCCAGCGAGCCCATCGCAACCCGGAAGCGTCTGAAGCCCCGTAGCATCAACGATGCCCTTTTTTGGAGTTGAGGCTTTGTCTTCAGCTCCCCATGCGCCCAGGCCCAAAAGCTCAAAGACGCACTACGGGCGTATCTTGGGCACGTTGTCGTGGCAAGATGTTTCCTTGTCTACGGGATTCGGGAGGCTTTTGGGCCTCAACTTGAAGTCCCGGCCGCGAGTTCGCGCTTCAAGCTGCCAGCTGGTGGGGCATCGACAGAAAAATTGGTGCCTCCGTGGACAAACACACGAGGAAGCTTTGAAGAGAGGGGCTTTTGAGCTTCGGGGCCAAGCTGGTAGGCTCGGGATTGGCTAGAAAGTCGCCGCATTCTCCTCGCTTCCTCCCGGTTTCTTTCATCTCTCTGCTTTTTGCCTTGGGGTGAAGATGTTTTTCCACTTTCACATCATAAGACACGGCCAGGTCCACCGACTTGAAACAGCGCTGGTGGGACTACTGTGTCTCTTTGCTGGCAGCTTTGAGGTTTAGGCTTGGGGGAGAGGTTATGTCTCAGGGATGTAAGGAGGTTTTGCAAGCCGCTCTCTAGATCGCGGCATCTTCCACCACCAACAACCACGACCACCACCGTTACGAATAGGACTAGGATAGGACTGTCATTGGGGGGGGGGGCATGTGATGACTCCGAAACAGAGACCTGGACCAATTTGGATCCTTTCGGTCCCGAGGACAAGCAACCTGGTGGACTGCGGGATCCGTCGCAGCCTAAGTCGACAGGGGGAAGGGGGGTTTCGGGGCCCGCTGTGTGGGTGTTTTTAGGGTCCGTAAGCAAAGCGCAAAAGCGCCTCAACCTTCAAGTAGATTCCGGATGTAAGAATTTGAGGATTTGCTTTCCTGGAAGAAGTCGAAAGGGGATCCGAGCTGGAATCCCTACCCCTGAACTGTTGGGGTGTCCCTTTATAGTCTCCTATACCCCGATTCTAACTATTCGGGCCGCTGTATTGTTCCGACACCCATAAAAAGTCAGGTTTTCAGCGCGTACGTGCGGGAGCTAGAAAACCAAGCCCCTGGTTCAGTTATGCCGGTTCAAGGGTTTTCGTGGGGTTTAGGCAAGAAGGGCTTCAGGGGCTTAGCAAGGCTTTGGAGCTGGGGGTAATATAAGAGTCGGAAGAACTAGTAGGCAATGTTATCCCTGTCTGCATAGCAACACTAAAGTAAACCCCCAAATCCCTTACTTCTAGCTATTAAGGCCCCTATATTCGCCGAACGTTGCCTTTCAAACTCTGGTTCGAAGTTGTTCAACAAACTTGGGACGCCGAGGGACTCCCGGTGTGCGCAACCAAAACTCCAGGTTAAGGCACTTGGGATTTGGTTGAGATTGTCGGGTGACAAGTAGGCTGTGAGGGGGGTATGCGTGTCCAAGCCACATGAATCAAGTGGCCATGAAGCACGCACATGGTGTGTGCCCATGTGCATATCATCCCCGAACTTTCGGAGCGTGTAGAGCCGGGCCCTGCGCTCTGCCCTCCAAGACAAGCCCAAAGCACATGAACCCTGGGCCCCAGGCACCGTCACTCGACGAAGTCGATTCAGTCGCTCAGAATCAAGAGTCAGAGGCTTTCGTGGCTTCCGGGTCTCTGGCTACAGGGGTGCTCCTGGGATCACGGTCGCAAAGGTAGCAGGGGGCGACTATGTTGAGTTGATGCAAGTGACGTTGGCCTGTGAGTGGGGGGAAGAGAAGTACCCT